TCTGGACACGTTAACTTGACTTGAGTCAGTTCCTCATTTATAAAATTGGGTCACTAATAGTTGTTTTCTCAAAGTGTTTGAGAGAAGCAAGTGTAGAATGCTTAGCACACTGCCTGGCCTATGAAGGCACAGTAATGAAGGCTGTGGGAGCTTGACCTGCTTGGATGGAAGAGAGGCTTCCTGCCATTGATAGGGATTGGATGCAGGCTGTGTGCAAATTTTGGAAGTTACTGATGAGTGGGAAGTAGGAGATATGTTTCCTTCAAATATCTTGTTCCATGTCAAAATCCCGAGGGAATAATTCAGCCACTGAAGATTTTTCAGAGCATATGTTGAGGAGAAAAAAACTGAATGAGAGTATTTAGCTTTATTAGGATTGCGTAGGAATATTTACCTACATGCTAATTGTGGTCATCTATGGTGGGAGGGTGATGGTTGTGGAATTACAGGTAGTCTTTATTTTCTTCTTTATACTTTTTTCTAATTTTCTACAATGAGCTTGCATTAGAAAGCACTGAACTAGATTCTAGTGCTGGCCCTAATCAATGTAATCTTTTTGGGCTTTAAATATTAGGTTTCTTTGTGTAAGTTTTTAGTTTTAAAAACCCTTCAATTTATGCCATTTGACATACTGACCCTCATTCAATTGTCCTTTTTAAATAGAAGTAGTAGGACTTTTATTCCTCATGGGTAGATGATTTTAAAGATAGCTGACTGGATTTTAGTGGATAGTTTGAAAAAGTGAAGCAGAACTTTCATTGCAAACTAGTTGGTATATTTTTTGTATGAAACTCAGGCCTGGGCTTTTTTTGAACTATAATAGCAGCTAATATTTTATTTATGATGTGCCAGTCTCTGATGCAAGCCCTGTAAAAGTGGATCAACAAATTTAATCTTTATAACAACCATATGAGGTAGATGCTGTGATTTCCCCCATTTTAGAGATGAGCAGATTGAATTTCAGAGAGGTTAAGCAACAGAGAGGTCACACAGCTAGAAAGACAGAGAAGGGATTTGGACAAATCCATATTGTCTGATTCTAGAGCCTGAGCTCATTTTACTGCACATGTCTTCATATTAGTCAAGTTGATGGCAAAGTGGAAAAGCTAAAGATTTCTTTTTTTAGTGCAATAGTTGTCTTATTTATTTTTTTTGGTTGAGGAAGATTCACCTTGAGCTAACATCTGCTGCCAATCCTCCTTGTATGTGAGCTGCCACAGCATGGCTACTGACAGATGAGTGGTGTAGGTCCGTGCCTGGAAGCCGAACCTGGGCCACTGAAGTGGAGCATATCAAACTTAACCACTAGGCCTCTGGGTGCTGGCCCTGGCTTATTGTTAAATAACCTTTGTAGACTGTAAGAATTATGTAGTGATATTATATTGATGATTTTCTATGATGTGATAAGAAAAGTTAACTTTCCCCATACTTTGCAAGAGTTATGCCTTGTTTGAGATGTAGCTGCTATATTATGTGGTCAAAATTGATGTTCCATTAGTGACATTTGATTGCTTTGTAAGAAGTTGGAAACTGTAGTGTAACTATGTATAGACCAAAAAAGGATGAGTAATTTGAACTGAGACAGACTTATTTAGCTTTTCAAGATGTATGAAACACTTCCTATTAGAAGACAAATGTGGATTTTAAAAGTAAGTAAAAATGTTAATTGACTTCAAGGAGAATATTACCTAGAGCAGATCTGTACAGCAGAGCTTTCTGCATTGATGGAAATGTTTTATATCTGCATTGCCCAAAGTCCAGAAAGTTTTAAGCCAAGTCTAATAAGTTTTAGGAGGTAGAAATGATTAATTTTTACTTGAAGAGGATTGGGAAGGCCTCACAGACAAAGTAGGTGATATTTCTGGAGAATGAGTGAGATTTAGAAGGACCAGGGCATTTCAGGTGGCAAAAGTAGTATGAGCACAGCAGGAAGATTGGAAGGCTGTTTAACTTGTGTTGGGTCACTGTGTGCATGAGGTGCAGCAGGAAAATGGGGGTGAGGGTGGGGGTGGGGATGGTGAAAAGCCTTAGGTTCCACAATAAGGAATCTGGGCTTTATTTGTTGGTAATTGGTTTTGTTTGGAAGGTAAGTAGAAGCAAGACAGATTCAGAGTTACCTAGGTAGAATAGGAAATTAACCCTTCAACAGGACTTAAAGTTGGGAACATTAATGTTTTTTGTTCCTAGAGCTAGTAATTGTTTTGAGGAGATGAAGTTTTGAAAAAAGGGCTGCAGGAACATAAATAACGTTGCCTTTTAGTTATGTTGGGATTGAGATATTGGTGAGATATACCTTAGAAATTCAGATCTGGTGGCTTTTAGAAAGATGTAGGGGGCCGGCCCTGTGGCTTAGTGGTTCAGTGCGTGCGCTCTGCTACTGGCGGCCCCGGGTTCGGATCCCAGGCGTGCGCCGACGCACCGCTTCTCCAACCATGCTGAGGCCGCGTCCCACATACAGCAACTAGAAGGATGTGCAACTATGATATACAACTGTCTACTGGGGCTTTGGGGGAAGAAAAAGGAGGAGGATTGGCAATAGATGTTAGCTCAGAGCCGGTCTTCCTCAGCAAAAAAAGAGGAGGATTAGCATGGATGTTAGCTCAGGGCTGATCTTCCTCACAAAAAAACGAAAGATGTAGGTTTAGCATTTGTTAGGCTTAGGCTAGAAGGCCTTTTTGGAGTGGGGAGAGTGAATGGAGTAGGTAAGATTGCCTTGGGCAATTCCTAAAGAGCAGTATGGTCTGTGTTAGAGACATTTAGGTGGTACTCAGGAATTTTTCTTTTGGTTTTAGTGATTGGTGGTATATTTCCAGAAAGGCTGAGCTTGGCACCTGTGCTTCTTGAGAGGCTACTTCCAGCACATTCTAGGCTCACAGAGCTTAGGGTTCAAAGGAAATATGAGGAGATCCAGGCTATGCCATATTAATATAGGGCATAGCTGCCTGCAACTGCTCTGGGACATTGGCTCACAGGGGTTCTTAACACATTGGTTGGAAAGGGCCTCTGAGGCACAGAGAGGCCCAGCATTCTGCCAGTTTATACAGGGCTAATAGATTTAAGTAAAACAATTCTACTTGATTAATAAGTCATCTAATGTAGTGAGATTTGGACCAAGGCTGTATGGCTCCAGAGCCCTTATTCTTACTCACTCTGCTAAATTGGAAGAGCTAGGGATCCAGGGAGGATAGAGAGGGTCAGAGCTAGAGTGTGAAATATGGAGAAATGATCTACAGTCCTGACTCCATTGCTTTCAGATTACATGACCCTGGATAAATTTACCTTTTTGGACTCAGTTCCTCTCCTATAAAGTGGGGATAAGATAGAGTGCTTATGGGGATTAAGTGAGATAGTACACATAAGCAATTGATGCAGTTATTATTATTAAAGTAGGAGGAAGAGAGACTTAACTAACTTGAGAGGAAAATGGATGCTGGGAAGAGCTTTGTCTTTTAGGATTTTTGGGTGGTGTGGGTGAATTTGATCTTGTTTTAGTTTGAGAGAAAGCAGCTACTGGAAACGGAGGTGATAAATACATGAGAGTAAAGGGAACATGAGGCAAGGTTCCAGAGGGATCAATTAGAGTGAAAAACAGGGGGAAGCAAAGGGGCTATAATAGGAAAAGCATTAACTCCAGTATAACTGACTTTTTAAGTTTAAACACAGTGATTTATTTATGTATATATGTATGTATGTGAGGAAGATCAGCCCTGAGCTAACATCTGCCAATCCTCCTCTTTTTGCTGAGGAAGACTGGCCCTGGGCTAACATCTGTGCCTATCTTCCTCCACTTTATATGGGACGCCGCCACAGCATGGCTTGACAAGTGGTGCGTAGGTGCGCACCAGGATCTGAACCAGTGAACCCCGGGCTGCCGCAGTGGAGCGCGCACAATTAACCGCTTGTGCCACTGGGCTGGCCCCAATTTTTTTGAAAAGATATTTATTAAACTATTTCATGTGTGACTGAGTTTGTGTGTGTGGGGGGGCATCTGGAACTCTGAACTAAGTTCTATGTAGAGTACAACATTTATTAAAGGGTAAGGAATACAAATGTGCTCATTCGAAGCTTACGTACATATTATTAATAATATTATTATTATTTTTTTTGAGGAAGATTAGCCCTGAGCTAACATCTGTTGCCAAGCCTCCTCTTTTTTTTTTCTTTTGCTGAGTAAGATTGGCCCTGGGCTAACATCTGTGCCCATCTTCCTGTACTTTATATGGGACGCCGTCACATGGCTTGATCAGCAGTGCGTAGATCTGCGCCCAGGATCCGAACCCGTGAACCCTGGGCCACCGAAGCGGAGCGTGTGGACTTAACAGCTATGCCACTGGGCTGGCCCCCAAACACGGTGTTTTAAAGTAGTTATAGTTTTAAGCAGGTTTCAGTTCTGCTTTCTAAAATAAACAGCAAATAGATCAAACCAGCAGGTACTGTATGAGTTGGTGATTTGGAAGAATGTGTTCAGAAGTGGGAATGAAATTCCTTTTCAGAAATTCGGAGTCCTTGGAAGCTAGTTTTAGAAAAATTACTTTTTACTTACATACGATAAGACAAGAGTTGTTTTTAGGGTTTATAGGATATTCTCTTGGTGAAGTTATGAGCTATTTTTAAAAACAAAGAACATTTAGTTGGTGTGCTCACATAAGGGTACATTATTTTATATTGGGATTCTGAACACCAGACTTGAAGAATTAGAGGATAATGGAGTGTACCTCTCTGTAGTATTCTAAACAGATAGTCATCACGTCAAACTTGTGCTTCAACATCTAAAGGACAGGACTGCCGTTATTCCAAGAGGCAGCCTATTCCATGGACAGTTTTACTCAATGGAAAGGTCAAAATCATAGACTTATTGTGGGTTGTTAATACATATGGCTTTTTAGCCTAAGACTCAGAAATCTCACCTGCTATGGTTTTGGATATAATGTTGCAATAAGTTTTTTTTTTTTTAATATTGCAGTAAGTTTTGATGCTTTAATGTTTGTTTTATCTTCTAGGGCTTGCATTTCTTTTGGTCCTAAGAATCGTTCAATTGGAGCAGCAGCTAAAAGCCAGGTAGAGTTTTGTTTCTTCCTAAAATAACTTCTTTATTTAGTTTGTCCATTCTTCCATTCAGCACCTGTTTGAGTGCCCATTAGGTGCCTAGCACTGGGAGGCCCTAGGCATACAACTGAGAGAGACAGACCTGATCCCTATTCTCATGTGCTTGAGTGAGAAGCAAATAGCTTTTTAAGCCATGAGCTTCTTTTTTTTAATTTTATTTATTTATTTATTTTTTCCCCCAAAGCCCCAGTAGATAGTTGTATGTCATAGCTGCACATCCTTCTAGTTACTGTATGTGGGACGCGGCCTCAGCATGGCCAGAGAAGTGGTGCGTCGGTGCGCGCCCGGGATCCGAACCCGGGCCGCCAGCAGCGGAGCGCGCGCACTTAACCACTAAGCCACGGGTCCGGCCTGCAAATAGCTTTTTAAAACAGCATGAAGAGTATAATCTATTTAATGCAAACTACTAGGATGTATTTTGCTCAGATCTTGTTTAAGCAAGGCTTGCTTGTTCGTGGATATTTTAAATGTTCCTTAAAGTCTGTCATTTTGGGTTTTCATCTTACTCATATTTAGGATCAGTGTTGTCTTCAAATTTGATCTTGTTAATCAAGGTTCTCAAGGAAGGAAAGCAAACTTGTAAAAGCACACTTGTCATTAGTTTACTTTGTAAACCAGGAATTGACATATTTGCTGGTTTCAGAGCAACAGAACCCCCGAGAGTTCTGTTATCCTGAGTGTTTGAGGGTGCTGTAAAATCAAAGAGTTGCATGTTTGATCTTTTTATGATTCCATCTGGAGCAACGTTTAGAATAAATAACTGTCTCTCTTTCTGGAACTGGCAGGGCCTAAAATTTTTAAGCCTAAGAAAATGGTGCTTGGCCAATTGATTTTTTAATTAAATTGGGTATTTAGAATCTCATTTTCAGAAGATTCAATATACTTTAGGAGGCAGTAGATAGCAAGTACGGAGCTATTTTGAAATGTCTTTCCTTGTAAAATTCCAGGGAATTTTTCCTGTTTTTAAACTTACTTTCATTATTGAGAATAGTTATTGCACTAAATAGCTGCCTGGTTTTATTTATTTATTTATTTATTTATTTTTTTTAAGATTTTATTTATTTTATTTTTCCCCCCAAAGCCCCAGTGGACAGTTGTGTGTCGCAGCTGCACATCCTTCTAGTTGCTGTATGTGGGACTCGGCCT